TAAAATCACTACTAAATTACTCGCTTAAGGAACTAAAAATGTTATCTTATATAATTGCTTTTTTTTCTGGATTATTTTCTGTGTTGCTGCTCTCGTATTTGCATTTCTGTTTGTAAGTGGCAGTGCAGCATGGATAAAGGATACCATGTTCAGGAGGCAGTGCAATTTAGTGGAAAGAATACTGGACCAGAAATTGTCATCCCCATTATACCTCTAGCATGCCAGGTGCTTTTGGGTGAAACACAAGATTGTTCCTGGTTCAGTTTACTCATTGAAAAAAGGAAGTAGTAATTGTCCTTGTCAAGTTTCCAGGGCTTTGTGAGAACAAAATGGAATGTGGATTCTAAGGGGAAAATATATTATTATATCTTTTTACATTTTGAAGGATGAATGTTGTATAGTATCATACATGCAGATATAGATATATATGGTGCCAAAAATGTATACACATTTTAAGAAAGAAAAAATGTATTAAAAATTTAATACTCAATATATACCGATAACAAAAGTTGGATACCAGTCACGTTTGACTTCTGCAATTATAAGAGGTGCTCAAAGTGGTTGCACTCAGCATCCAGACACTTCTGATTATGGTGAGCTGCTGCTTGAGAAATGTTGACTAAAGTGTCCACTTGTATACATTTTTTCAGCATCCTTGGTACATATGTATGTATTTATATATTAATATATTGTCCCTGTTTGCTACAGATTTAGTGTTTTTATGGTCCATCCTTTCATCCTCCTCTCATTTCTTTGATTCCTATGATTTACTAAACCACTCCTGTGAGTTTCGATACTAGACTCTGATGACTTCCGAATCAGTATCACCAACTTTGAGCTCTCTTGACATCTAATTCTGTAGTGTCAGCCTCCAACTGGACACTTCCACATGCACATCCCATAGCATCAGAATGACATTTCTAAAACTGAAATTTCATCTGGGTACCATTCCTTTTCCTACTATATTTCCTTTCATTTGATCTTTCGAGCTAGGAACTTTAGAGTCAGTTAGAGCCAGTTTTCTCCCTTTCTTTTGCCTTTTGCATATGTTTTATCAGTGACCAAATTCTTTAGATTCTACTTTCTAAAAGTCTCTTGAATTCTACCCCTTCTGTTTATTCTCATGCTACTCACAGAGTTCAGGCCCCCATCAAGTCTTTCCTGGACTCAGACTTAATGAAAAACGTGCTTTTCAGGGGAATAATAGATTTGCATATTATTAGGGTAAGGTAAGGGTTGGTGAGAGATAGTGTTCTGTTGACAGAGAGCTGAAAATTATGATGCAATCATGACTTACACTTCCTGTAGGTGCTCTCTCTGCCACATTCAGGTAATTTAAAAAATCTTCACCTGTGTCTTGGGCCCCCAGTTGGGGGTCCCAGGTGAGAAGAACATCCTGAGGCCATGGTAAGTCAGGTCAGGTTTTCCCCCTCCCACTGGCTTTCCAAGGGCCCCTCACTTGCACATTGCAATAGAAGTGGGAAGTTCATGCAAACCCCAGTTTTTAAACCTCTGTGCAATAACGTGGGTAATAAGGATGGAAGAAAAAAGAATATTATTTTTTGTGTCACTATAGCTCCTGGTAGGATGGAGGATGGCTGCGCTCTGCAGGTCTCCTTAAGCATCTCAGTGCAATTATCCAAGCTGGTTTTCTCTTGGCCCTCCTCTAGTCAACATGCCTGATGAGCAGTACAAGGACCAGTAGCTCTGTATCACCGTCATTGGTCAAAGCCCAAAATATCAATTTGATTTGAGAAAGGTAGTTTAGGGATGTCAAAATGCAATGTTTAAAATACTGTGAAATCTAACAAAAAAGTCGATCACCTGAATGCCAAAGTCTCTCAAGAGTTCTTCCTATGTTCAATTTTTTTTCTTCAAATAGCATTCTACATGGTTGCCAGAGAAATTTTTCCACAATGGAGTTTGATCAGTTTTTAAAAAATGGTTTTACTTCACCTTCAGTTTCCTTGCCCATGTTTTCAACCATGGTGACTTACATTTTTACTAATGATATCAAGTAATTTATTCTTTTAGGCCCTTCTCCCTTTCATCTTAAGGTTGATGTTCACATGTCATTTCATCTGAAAACAAAACAAAACAAACAAAACAAAACACTCCACAAAAATAATACAGCTTCTCAACTCCCCCTACAAATCTGACTCCAAAAGCAATGGAGAAGAATGCAGGGATTTAGTGAAGGTTTTCTAAGCATACCAAATGACAAAACCTCCTAAAAATCTTTAAGTGTTTCTTCTCTGAAGTTCAGTTCTGAAGGCAGCTGTCACACATTTCTAAACTCTTTTTTTCTCCTGTAAGAATGCAGGCTCTTTGGGCCACACCTTCAGGTCTTTCTGAGGATCTGGTCATCATTCTGTATTGAATGTTGTCCTTTCTCCTTTTTTCTCATTTGCATCTCCGTCTATCATCCTGCTCAAGAAGACACAGGATGCTGCTCAAGCTCTATCTGCCTGAAAATGGGGGTGGGGGGAGCATAACAAATATTTATATTTCAATTTTAATTTGCTTTTATCAAATTAAAATGAAGTAATGAATTTTTGAGTGATTCAGTTTTATTTAAATGAGAATGGGTTAAAAGTTAGCACTAGGTGGATTATTGTCAGAGAATTATATTTTATGTACCTCCTAGAGGAAGTGGAAAGTTTTGGTGCTAGGAGAAGGATATGGAATCCCCTGCACAGCCTTTCCTATCCCTGATGGAGCCTGGGGAAAAACTATTACATTGATCGTGGCAGAAACTGCAGATTATTGTTAAGCTTTGGAGTTGTAAATGTTGAGTAGAACCAAGGAATTTTCTTTTTTGGAAACAAAGTTCTTTTTCCTAAAATTTTGAACAAATATCCTGGGCCTGACTTCACTGCCCTGGATTAGGTGCCTGTCCCTGAATCTAATACTGCAGATGGGTGGTGATGCTCTGATTGGTCAGGGGGCTTCTAGCACAGAGGAAATCATGGTGTAAGAGTGGGAAGGGATCGTTTTTCAAGGCTGAGAGTGACTAATTTCAAATCTTTTTTTTTTTTTAACCAAGAGGGTAAATTGATGAACTAACAGGTGTCCATTGCATAGGCACACAAGGCCCTGCCTATTGAGCCCAGCTTTCTCTAGCCCTGTGTCACATGGGCTACTTGCTAGTCACTGTTTTAGCCATGTCATGCCCCTTCACACCTCTCTGTGTTTTCACAAGCTACTCCTATTCCTGCTTTTCCTTCTCTCCTATAATTGGTAAACTCCTGATCAAATGCCATCTGTTTTATGAGATCTTTCCCTCCAGATGATGTTGGCTATTTTCCCCGCTGTGACCCACCAATGCTTTGCACCTATGTGTATAACAGCATTTCCTTCGTTACACTGGGATTATTTGTCCCTTCCTCTAGTTTATGGGTATCTTAAGGCCTCTCCATGTCTGTGCATTCCCAATGATGAACACAGTCCAGGTGATTACATTTTTATTCCATAAATTTGTGGGGCTAGAATGGTGGGGACCTTTGGATTAGTCCTATAATCTGTTGCATCAAGGCTGTGCGTCTCAGTGAGATTTCTGCCGCACTGCTCCCAGAAGAGTGCTTGGAAAGTGTGCGAGAACTTTGGTTGTCACAGTGACTGGGGATTGGGTTCCACTGGCATTCATTGGGCCTGGACCCTGCAGTGCTAAATGTTCTGCAATGATGGGATGGTCTTGCACAAGGGAGGATTGTTCTCTCCAACTTCCAGTAGTTTCCCCATTGAGAACTACTTACTGTATTTCCCCATGTATAAAATACACCTTAATTTTGGGGCCTGAAATAAAAAAAAATGTATTACATAAAATTATTGAACTCAAGTTTTATTCATCATAAAATTCATACAACTCCTCATCACTGTCAAAACTCCCAACCATTAGCTTGTCCTCATCTGTGTCTGATGACAAATCACTGTCTTTATATATTGCCTTGTTCTCAGTTCCATCTATGGCATTTGAAATGCCACACTTCTTAAATGACTTGACAATGATCTACAACCACTGTATTAGATGCACCTAGTTTTTAGACCCCAGATTTTTCGAAAAAGGGTGTGTCTTATACATGGGGAAATACAGTACCTAGTCCACCTACTCTAAAGCATCCAAAAGAGGACAATGATTTGATCACAACAAAACTGTTTCTGGTTCCCATCAACCCTTTGCACACACTAGGCATAGGAGAATGTTATGCTCAGGGAGCAGACGGCTTGAATAATAGTTTTTTCCTGTCCACTAAATACATTTCTATCCTGGTCTATTTCCCCCATATCCTCCGTGTCCTATGGTTAGAGTGCAAGACTGTACCAGGTGGGAAGTGCAGGGTAGAATTTTCTGCTTTCCCAGGCAAACCTCTCTTGACTGGGCTTTCGCTAAGCCTGGGGAGAGGCACATGGGAATTAAGTGCTATGTATTTCTTTCAGCAAATATGGTAAAATAATTTGATCTTAGTTTTATCCACTGCACAGAAGGCAGAGAGTGACTAATTTCAATGATCTTTTAAAAAGATCTATTTAGAGCAAGCCTTCTGGCTAAAGACATCAGTGTGGAAGATGGCACATAAATTTAAATCCAGTTTTCAGTCATGAGGTGTCAGGAAAGCTAAATGGCTCTTTCGTGGTCTTTTAGGGACTATTCTAGGAAGTACATCTTTTTGTTCATTGTTGACACTGACGTGACTGTAGTATCTAGGATATAGGACGTGTGTAAGAAGGAAAGTTGGGAGTGTACTTCTTCAATTGGGGTTCTGTGATTCTTAGCCTCAGAGATGATATTTTGGAAAAAAATTCCTAAAACACCGGTTCAGCAATTCATGTGGTTTACTGTCCTGTGTTGTGTAGCTTAAAGTCTTGTTGAAATAATTTACCAGAAGAGTCTGAGACTTGGTATTTATCCGTTATTACTTGATAATATTTTTTGAAAGATGTTGCATGTAAAGGGTACTTTATAAAATCAAATTCGTGTCTATTTAATGTTTCTTTTTCAGATACTCCCAGAAGTATAAAAGCATCCACTGCTACAGCTGAACAGTTTTTTCAGAAGCTGAGAAATAAGCATGAATTTACTATTTTGGTGACTCTGAAACAGACCCACTTAAATTCCGGAGTTATTATCTCCATTCACCACTTGGATCACAGGTAAGTGTGGCTGCTGTGTTTTCATTACATCTGGTGAAATGAACACATTAAAGAGAAACAAACAAGGTATGTCATATACTAGATTGGCTTAAAACAGCTAAAATAATTTTGCTGCATGATGCAAAGTCACAAACGGAAATAACTGAGATCTACCTAAAAGCAGAGGAGCTGCTGCTTTTGACAACAGCATACAGAAGTTACCATTCCAAAAACAAATGTATCATTTACTAAGTTCCTTGTGAGATATCTTTCTCAATGTTAAAGTCAAACATTCTTCTTCATTTGTGAATAGTTAGCCTCAGAAACACTATATTCTTTTTCTTTAGGAAACGGCCTGGGTTTTAGAGATTAATAGTCTTATAACTTTAATCACGGACGGGTAACTTCTTCTTCAACACAGTTCTTTAGATTGCAGCAGTTAAAGCTGTGTTCCTGCAAGTGTGTTGCATCAAAATGCGATCTAGTGTCTCCCAACTTCTCGCATATATATAAGCATGGTTAGGGGAGATGGTGGAAGTAATGGGGAGGAGGAGAAACAAAAGCATTCATGACAGTTGGGATATACATAACTCACTAGTAAATAATACCAGACCACTTAAAATGATTTCTTCCTGAAAGAATAGCCACAGTGCTGACAATAAAATGTTCGGGCCAGCTGAGTGGCGCATTGGTTAAGAGTTGGCTTGGGACGCCAGCTCTGAGCAGCAGGGCCCCTTTCGGATCCCACATGGACCGGTGATGCTGTGTCCTCTACAGCTAAGATGGTGAATAACAGCTCAACCTGGAGCTGGGCTGCCATGGGTCATCAGCGATGGTGTAGGCTGCAGTGGGGCCACAGCGGGACTGCAGTGGGCTGCTGTGAACTACTGTGAGTGGCTGGCAGCTGCCGTGAGCTGCTGCTTAGTGGCTGCAATCGACTGCCTCAGCCGGGAAGAGCTCAATGATCATAATACCAACGTGGGCCAGTGAAGCAACATCTTCCACAACTAGACGGAAGAACAAAAGGACAGCAACTTGCCTGTTCCCCTTCCCCGATTCCCCAACACTGTTCCCCTCCCCCAATTCCCCCAAAAAAATCTTAAAAAAAAAAAGTTCCTTCATGTTCGTATTTTGAATACATGCACCACCACTTACTATCTATGGACCTTGGGCAAGTCACATAACCTCCCTGTAAAATAGGGATAATAATAGTACTTACTTAAGGTTGTTGTGAAGATTAAAGAGTTTGTATATGTATAGCTTTTTACATATATGAAGGTGTTAATCATCCTGTTATGGGCAGAAATCTTTTGGTTTCTCTTATCAGAGATGAGGCCACCTGGGACTTTGCAAATCTTTACTAAATACCAAAGAGCAAACAGAAGCAAATATGTGTGGAGAACAAAATACAGCAAGATGCCATAGAGAGCAGTGTTCCTAATCATACTCTGTCTGATTTACTCTCTGGGCTTCAGGGCATCACTTCGCTAGTTGGCAACAGAGCCAGGATCCAAGCCCATTTCTTCTGATTCTTGAGCCTGGTGTTTTTGAGTCCACTGTGATATCTCCTGACCTTCTAACACGCTGGCAGACCTTGTGTATGGTTCGTGGTGTTCTTTTTCCTGTTATTGTTGCTGAAGTTATCTTCCTTCCCCTAGTCTCATTCTCACCCATCTCTTTAGTTTCATCATCTCCTGAACACTTATTTATTTATTCTCTGCTTTCTTTCACACACACACACACACACACACACACACACACACACACACACGCAGTTGAAGTGGTTTATAGCGATATCTATGGGGCAAAAAGATAAAAATAAAGTGAAATGTGCAAATTGGCAAAAAAATAAAAATGGAAACATAGTTGGATGATTAAGACAATGCAACTATTCTTTGTTCTGAGATAAGGGACATATTTCTCCTGTGGCCTTTTACGGGAAAATAGTATCTTTAGAGAAACAAATTCAGAGGGTTTCATGTGGCTGGTGACATCATGCCACGTGCAATTTTTTTTTTTAATTTTAGCATCTGTGAACATTCTAGAATTCTTTTTTCTTTTTTAATTTTTCATTTATAATTGACATGCCAAATGCACTTTGGAAAAAGCAAATCTACACTGATGCCTGTGATGTGCACCTTGGTGTGAAGATCCCTGAAACAGTCCTGCCTTGGAGGCTTTGTTGGTGTGTTTGAAAGTCCTGAGCAACCAAGTCTTCCTGCTCAAAATGCCAATCCTGTCTGCTATAGGAAACCTTGAGAAGAGACCATGTCCTTCAAGAAATAGTTCATGCAAATAGCTTTTCTCAATTTGGCTTTTGAGAATAACATTGAATTCAAGTTGGACGTTTCTGATAATTGCTCAAATTGTAGCTATCCTTTGTTGACAATTAAGTGTTGAGTATCAACAGCAATTGAGTTAGAGGGAACACTGACCTTTCATTATAAAACTTGAGGAGCCAAACAAGGATGTGCCTTAATAGAAGGTACCCACCTCTGCCTGTGGGTGGCCGAAATAGACAGTTTCCAAGAGCAGGGCCAAGCTTTTCCTCAGGAATTAGTGTGGGTTCTACTCTAATGTATTGTGAATGGATTCTATAGAATGTGGAAATATTTATTATGCCATAAATTTTAAACATTACACATGATAATTATCATAAATTTTACAAATTAGGAAAATCACAAATAGGGAAGTAAAAATCATCTGTAACTATCCCTGGGAATAGTTTCTACTAATATTTTCAGTTGTAAATGTCTAAAGTGTGTGTGTGTGTGTATATATATATATATATATATATATAATATTTTATTGAAAATTGAATCATACTGTACATAGTATTTTGTAGCTTTTTAAAATTTAGTGAAATTGTTTGAGAATTTTCCCATGACAATAAATACGCATTTATAATCTTTTTGTTTTTTAATGACCAAAGAGTAGTTCATGACTGGATACAAATTAAAACAGGGTTAATCCAATTTTCGTATTTGTCATTTAAAAACTTAAAGAAAGTGTCCAAAAATGTCCAATTTTGATCAGTATAATTACCTGAGATACCCATTTAAACTAGTTTGCAAATTATATGCCTGGAGAAATAAATTGATTTAATGTGGTCCACAGGATGGTTAGCTATAAACCAGTTAAATGTTGAGAAACGTCTACCAAAATGAATATTGATCCATCATCCTTTAACTGGCAGTGATTAGGGAAAGGTCCAGCTCTCCATGAGGTCTTCCCTACCTCATGGAAGAGCTCTTCTGCTCACTGAAGAAAACTCATTTTCTACTTCTTTTTGGGGGTGTGTGGGGTGAAGTCATGGAGATTCATCTGAGTATATGTGCTTGCCTGCTTGGTAGGAAGCATAAGAACAAGAACTTGAGTTATTCCTCTGTGAATCAGACTCTGTGAGTTAGACCACAGAGTTCCTGCTACAGAACAAATGCTAAATAAACACCATCACTAGAGATGATGTGCAGCAAGGACTTGTCTCCTTACATCAATCCCTGACTCCAATCTTATCTCCATCTGGGCTGATTGCAGTGCACATGTGGCTATCTTTCAGCCTATTCTGGAGCTGAATCAACTAGGGAGAAAGTAGCACGAAGTAGAGACTGAGGGGTCGAGCAGAGGTGGGGAGAAGTGATATCATTCAGTAGGAGTATAAATGCCGGGCACATGGCCAGTCTGCTCATCATCTGTGTGTCACCCTTCCTTTCTCTCTGCTTGTTCACATCCTCATGTTTCAGAAGTCCACTCATATTCCATGAAGCATTTACTGACCTTTCCAGCTTACATGAATTTCTTCTCCATTAGCTGCCAGTGTGGTTTTGGAATTTGTGCCACTTCTTTTGGCATTCTAACATATAACATTTTATATTGTTATTTAATGTTTCACGTAGATATGTGTTAATTGTATATGATAAATGAAAATATTATTTACTGCTTTTAATCACAATAGTAAATATTTTTTGAGGATTTTTAAAATTTAAATTGTAATTTAAAAAACTGGTAATACATTTCAGGGTTCAAAATTTAAAAGGTACAACAAAGCATAGATTCTTTCTTCATCTGTTTCCCTGGCCACCTAGTTTCTATCCCTGGGGAATACCACTATTATCATTAAAGACATTTGGAAAATAAGAAAAGCAGAAAGAAGAAAATGCAACTCAGCCAATCTGTGATATGCTGGAGGAGGCTCATACTGACTTATGAGAGTTGAAACTTTGTGAGCCAGTTGATATTGCTGTGGTAGCTTGAAGTAGGCTATGGTGTGATTATTTACACAAGTGCTACGAAGTCATTTTTTAATTAACTAATTAATTAATTTTTATGAAAATTTATTGGGGTGACAATGGCTAGTAAAGTTACGTAGGTTTCAAGTGTACTTTTATTGATGAATGTTTTTTTTTTCATGATAAGTTATTGTGTTCATATTTCTCTTCTTCTGTCTTTCCTATAAAAATGGATAAATGAGTTATTTCTCTAGGGAACAGACAGCCAGTTATTAAACATTTACCAGCAATAGTGCCTGTGGTCCTGGCATCTAGAGATAACCGCCGTAACACTCTGGGATATAGCTTTCTAATTCTTTTCTAGGTGTACTTGGGTGTTTGAGTAAAATTTTATATAGTTGACAACAATTTTGGATTAGATTTTAAGTCTTTTTGCTGTCAAGGATTGTGCACTCCAGTTTATTTACCATGCTGTCATACATAGTTAGATGCTAAAAAATATTTGGTGGGTGAAGAAATGAGTAAAAGATCAAGAGAAAGATCATCAGAGTGCACCAGGAATCGTAAATGACCTCACACAGTTTTCACCAGGCTCTGGAGAATGTTCAATTGCAATATTGATGCAGGGTGCCCAATCCATCCTGAAATGTCATTAGCTCCAGCATGAGGATTTCACTAAATGGCAGCCACTGCCTCGAAACAGCTATAAGTCAAGTTCTTAGAGAATAACGACACCTATAATGAGTCATAGAGCAGCATCTCAGCCACTGTGTTCAAGTTGGAAACCTAATC